TTCTTTGTCTTTTCCTTACTCCCCATGGATCTGGTCTAACTTGTTTGCTGACTGGGCTGGGCCTCAGCAATAGATCCTTTCAGTAGTAGGCTAAAATCAATTCCTTCTCAATGGAGGCACTTAATGTTTGACAGGGTTATTTTCCTTCCTCTTCCTCTAGGTGACCTCTGCTCACTTCCTTTGTAAGGCTGGTGCTCGTACTGTTTGGACCTGCGTGGGAATGAAATGCCTCTGGTATTGAAGGGACAGAGTTTTCTTATCCCATCAAGGTCTTCCATTCCAAGACTCCCGCATGGCCCCTATCAGCAGGAAATAATTATCGAAGACAGTGGCCTTCTGCCCTCCCCCCAGCAGACATGGAATGTGACTTGACAGGGGGATTTGAAGGCGGGTCCAGTCATGGACCAATTTCATTTTGTCCCTTTCTGACTCCACTTGCCTTTTGACCTGTTTTCCTTCTGAATCACCTTCTTTTGCAGTTACCTTGGATTCCAGGAACCACACGGGTCTGATTGATTGATAAGCATCTTTATGACAAGTGACCGAAACTGCCCCAAGCAACAATCAGCCTCTCAGAACAGATCACCCCATAAGATGGTCCCCATAAGCAGAGCTATTAACCCCATGACGGAACCCAGGCTGCCCCTAAGCAGGAACAATCATCTCACTGGGAACTGAGTCGCCCCCTCAAGATGGGATCACCTCCCCAGAGCTTCACAGAACCAGTCCTGAGACCATGGTCTGACCCAGACGACTTACTTTGTTGGCTGTTCAAATCCCCCAGCCATACAAGTCCCCAACCCTTTCTTTGTTCCCTTTTTCTATAAAAACCTCAAAGTTTCTGTCATCCCTTGAAGACAGATCTTTGGTCACCAAACCCCTACATCTTTTCTTCCTGGGGTGGCCTCACTGATTAAAAGATCCTCTCCTTCCCTCCACCACCGCGTGAGTCTTTGGCATATGAGAACAGGTGACCGGGCCTGGTCTATTGGGACAGGGGCCTTCAACCAACAACTCTGGAAACATAGTGACTCCAAGGCCCCCAGCCCTGGCTGCACATTAGGATCACCGGGAGAACCTGCTGCTCTTTGAACCCCATGTCACCCACCAAGAGTCTGATTTGGAGTCCAAGCGTCAGTGTTATTTATTTATACATTCTCCCAAATATCCAACTATGCA